CCCCAAAACCCCAAAACCCCAAAACCCCAGGAGTAATAAAACCACATAATTTTAGAATTAAAAATATTAAGAAAAATTATAAATAGGAGAATCATCATTAGGTAGAGGGCATATCTATTTCTATTTCTCTTATTTCAGTAAATTAAGAATCTGCAGAGAATAAATTCTTCTTTATAATATACTGAACATCACATAGTCTAAGTTTATTTGACTATTAACAATGGTCTTTTTATTGAATAAATTGCAAATCTCCAGGCATTCCTACTTCAAATTTAGACTTAATAATTCTTATTGTTTAGAATTTCTACATATTCATGAGAGAAATCTTATGAATATCTTTTATAAAAGCAAAGGGATAGTTCTAATAATCATAATTATGTGTAGGATATATGTTCGCTCCTTCCGCCATCTCTATCTAATCTTATAGTCTTTTACTTTTGAATTCTATAATTTTCAAATGCCAATTAGAATTTTGATTAATGATATATCCTAGCTAATCATTATTTATTTTTATTATCGATTTACAATAGCCCTTTCCCAATTCCAAGTATTTTTCATAACTAAATTAGAAATTATTTTAAGTTTTCTGCTGAAATTTACCTACAGCGATTCCATGGGTTTTGCTTCCAAAAGCAAATATATAATCACCTATTGTTGATGACTAAATCAAAGTTATCTCGCAAATGTCTCCAAAATCATTAATTCTATATCTGCCAAAAAATGACTAATCTTCTAAACTAAATATTTCAATATAACCATTCTGTTAAACTGTGATATAAAATTAGGCATTCATTTTAATCATTTTCAGAACACATTCCTGAGTTTGGCAAGATTTATGAGAAACTTTAGGTCATGTCTTTTCTAGCATCATAACTTCACTTATCTTATTCCCATTGCATATTAATATCTTATTATTTAAATACAGAAATAGATCAGCTTTAAGGTTTAGCCTAAGTATTTCTTTGAAGTCTTTTCCAATTAAGATGCATAAATTTCTGTATAGTGAAAAGCCAATGAGTATATTTCCTTCTCCTAAACTAATTATTCTAGCATATTCCCCTTTTTAAATGTTGGAATCTATATAAGTTTTAATAATCTTCCTATTAAACTTGTGGCTATTTAAGTCAAATATCTTCTGCGATCCAACAAATATAAAATCCTCCTTTTCTTCCTCTTGATTTAATTGCTCAATATGTTTATTTAGCAAAACTTTTATTCTATTAAGTTTTTCATCTATTTCTGATATCATTTGTTAAAACTCTTAATGACTGCTTTAATTAAGTTCTTTAATGAAATCAAAACTTTGATATCTATAAAGCTAAGTCTATTTAAAGTTTAAACTTTCCATATAAGAATTGATCTAAAAGGTTTGCATTTATTGCTCATAATCTCTCTATAAATTAGACTTTTTGTCTAGTATTTTCTGAAAATATTCTTTAATCTATTTAATTGACGGACGCTTATGCGGCTCTTGCTAGATTATTTTATCTAAAATCGCCTGAAATGAATTTCTGTACTAGATTGGTAATTGTAATTGATCTCCTTCATTTACAATGATACAGGCAGGTCTGTTATTCTTTCTTACATTGCCTGTGCACACAAAGTATAGCAAGACACCAATTGACCAAACATCAATCATTTTATCATAGCTGTCTTTTTTCATAAAGTAAATCTCTGGAGCCATGTAATCTACTTTTCCAGCACCCATTTATGTGGATTATCCATGAGATACAATTCCAAAATCAATTATTTTGAAAGTTTTATCATCAAATACCAATATGTTATCAGGTGAAATATCTCAATGAATAAAATTATTGTCGTGAATATATTCTAATCCATTAAGAAGTTAAATAAACATTGCTGCTATTATTTCGTCAGATAATTAGCCAAGATTTTGTTCTACATAATCTGAAAGATTTTTCTGAGCTAATTCACTTATCATTACAAATTTCCCATCAGTAGAGAAATATGAGTCTACTATATCAACTATATTAGGATGTCTCAGCTATATGCTACAAATTTCTCGTATCAATCTTAGCAATTCTGTCTAAATAGTGTCTTCCTTGCATTTAGTAATTCTCATCAAATCTTACTACTTGAGAGCATATTGCTTACTCTAATTTGTAAGATCAGTAACCTTGTATACTGTTCCATAATTACCTCTGTCTATACTCTCCTCAAGCCTGTATTTCTAAAATGTATCCACTATTTTCAATGAGATGAGATTTTCCATTTAAAATACCTGATCAAAAATTTTAATCTTTTATAAATCGTTCTCTATTTTTAACTCTTATCTCAACAAAAATTATATTAAAAGGCAAGCGGGGTTTTGGGGTTTTGGGGTTTTGGGG